CGGTGCCTCTTCAGACCCACGTAGCTGCGCCAGGGATGCAGATGGCGAACCAGGAACCAGACAGATCACAGGCGGGTGGGTGCAGAGCTGTGTGGCTCTGAAGTCGGAGGAAACATGACAGGCACCATCAGCATTGCGCACGGGCCGCCCCTGGAGACAGACACGGAGTCTCCGTGAAGTCCCAGAGAGGGAGGCCTAGTCAGTCACCCTCCTACACCCCCAAGGAGGTGTCATCTTGATTGACAGGGTCGATTCGACCCCTAGCCAGGGGTGTCTGGTTAACATAAAATCATCTAACCACCACCACCACACTTCCTCTCCACAAGGAGGTGCCCGGCCCAACATCCTCCAGAGCTGGTGGTGAGGGGGCTCTGCAGCCCCTCTGCAGCCCCATACTGGAAACCCAAAACAGTTGCTATGGAAACTAAAGAACATTCACTGCCATCCAGCCAGTGTCCACTTCTAGGGACCCCAGAGTAGAACTGCCCTTGTGGGTTTCTGGGGCTGTAACTGTTTTTGTTTTGCTTTCATTAAAGGGGTTATTGAAGTTAGCAAGTTGTAATGCCAGTGAGAACTACTCAGGGTAGTTGTTTAGCAGAACATGTTACAAAGTTTCAGTCTGCTAATAAATGCCCAAAGGGGCATACCACTTTGCTGTCATCCTCAACCTGAAGTCCAACTTCCCCAGTTAAGTGCCCAGAGGCAGCCCACTCCACAAGCCAGCCTCCTGCACAGTAGCACGCAGCTTCGCTTGCTTCCTGGATTGGGAAGTTCATTACTGTTCGAGGCCAAAACTCTACGGGGGTAGAAAGCTTCCTCTTTCTCCCTGGAAGTGTGACTGCTGTTTCGAAACTGCTGACCTTGGCCGCCCACCTCGTAAGCCACTCCACCCCGGGGAGGGCTCCTTGCACTGCCATGGAGTCCATTAGAATCCCCCGTGACCCCACGTATTACAGAGTAGATGACTGCCTAGGGCTGTCAGGCGGTGATCCTCTCCCCAGAAGCAGGTCACCAGGCCTTTCTTCTGCACTGCCCCTCAGTGGGTTTGAACCAGCAACCTTTTCAGGTTGGTCCTTCAGTGCGACTCTGCTTTCTCCCACCTCCGATGCCTCTGGCCTCTCTCTGGCTGCTTGCCAGTGCCCCACAGTGGGTGGGTTTTGTCTCTCCTGCCATTTTCCCTGGCCCTGAAGGTCACGTTCTAGGAGCCCCAGCGGTGTAGTGGCTACATGTCTGTAATTGCTAATCCCAAGGCCAGCGGTTCGTAACCACTAGCCAATCAGAAGGAGACAGATGGGGCTTTGTACTCCCGTAAAGAGTTATATTCTCAGAAACTCACAGGGGGGCAGCCCTATGCTGCCCTGTAAGGCCGCTGTGAGTCAGAATTGACCCGGTGGCAGTGAGTAGGTCACGCTGAAACAGACAAACACAATCCTGCCCTGGTTGCTCTGGGGACTCAGGGAGGTGAAAGGGGGGCACCCCTTAATGAGATGGAGTGGACTCAGATAGGATGGCGCCGGCACAGGGCAGGACCACACATTGGTCTGTTGTCCACGGGGCTGCCCTGAGTTGGAAGCAACACAAGGACAACCCTAACCACAAGACAGAGGCTGGATCTAGGCTGGGCTCTGAGCTGGGATGTGGAGGGTGAGGAAGCACCCCCAACCCCCACCAGCCATGGGAGCTGTAGGTGCAAAGGCTCTGAAGCAGGAGCCAAGGGAGATGGCTATGCAAGAAGGGGGAGTAGGGGGAGCCGAGGGGCGGAGGGCGGTGAGCTGGCAGGTGGATGGGGGGCCTCGTGGGCCACAGGGATAGTCGGTGATTAAAAAAAAAATAGCATGAGCAACCCTTAAACAGTGAAACATTGTTTAAAAAAACACAATCTCTGTAAACAGAATCCTGTGCATGCTCCTTCACCTGGCTGCTATTCAGCAAGCACCGCTCGGCCTGCACCGATCCCCCCTCTGGGGTCACTTGAAAGAGGGAAGGACGAGGCTAGAACTCCCGGCCTCCTTCCTTTCTTTCAGGGCCAAGGAGGCGATCCTTAGTCTCTGGGTTTGTGGACTGTCTGCCTCTGGTGACTCCACAGCCAGGTCTGCTCCTTGACCTGTGCCCGTGGACTGGATTCCGACTCAGGGCGGCCCCACGTGTTACCAAGCCTGTGGTTGGCTGTCTGCGTTATGGGCGCAGGCGACAGGCCTTTCCTCCGCAGTGCTGCTGGGCGGGTTCTAATGCCCACCTCTAGGTTTGTAGCTGGTGGTGAACCCCTGGTACTCCCTAAGGAATCTCCTCTCTGTATCCCCCACCCTCCACTGATCAAAGCCTCTTGGACCCAACGAAGAGAACCCTTTTCTCCAATGAGACCCATATCCATAAATCACCCTCACTCTGACTGCAGGGGACACAATTCAGCTGCTAACCGAGGTTTCATCAGGGGTCAGTATGGCCATGCTGTGGTCATGCTATGGTCATGCTATGGCCTAGTTTACGTGATAGAAAGTTGACCCCGTCTTCACACAGCTCCCTGAGGAGGGGCCTTTGCTAATGAGCGTGTCAGCCACCTCAGAGCAAAAGGACAGGCACCAGAGGGACCTGGTGGTGGCCCACTGGCCCAGGACTCCACCACCCTGCCCTCTATGCCAAGCCCACCTGTAGAGTGACCTCATCCTAAGACCAAGCTGTTCAGACCTGCCCCTGGGACCCCAGCAGCCTTCTTCCCCCAAGACTGCCCCATGGGCATCTTTGGGGCAGGTACTCTGCTGCCCCGGGCGGGGGGGTGGGGGGTGGGGCAGGGTCTTGGTTTGGCTCCACTGCTGTGCCCCCAGCACCCAGAATAAGTCAGACACAAGTTGTCCCTGGGGCAGGGAGAGACAGCAGGCCAAGGACAAACCTGAAATCAGTGCCCAACAAACAAAAGCCCATTGCCATCACGTTGCTTGTGACTACGGTGACCGCATCTGCTGTAGAGCAGCGCAGCCCGCAGGGTCTTCTTGGCTGTGTATGGAAGCATATCGCTAGGCCCTCTTCCATGACACCCCTGGGGGTGGGGGGTGGGGTGAGCTGCCAATCTTGAGGTGACGAGTGCCAAGGAATATAAACTAACTCAGGGATGAGGAGGGACATGTGGGGAATGGGTAGGGTCACAAGGGCTGGCTCCCAGAGGGGACACTTGAGCCAGGACATGTTGGAAGGGCTATGGGAGTGTGGAGGAGGAGTGTTCAGGCAGAAGGAACAGCCTGGCAAAGGCCCTGAGGTGGGTCCATGTGGGTTTAGGTAACAGTGGATGACTGGAGGGCAGATGGGAGGTGGGAAGTGGAGGAATAGGCCAGGAGGGCAGGCGGGAGGGGAGAAAGGAGGCAGAAGGGAAGTGGACAAGCAGGGCGAGAGGGAGGGAGATAAAGAGAGAGGAGGAGAAGGGGAGGGACAGTGGGAAGAGGAGAGGTAGCAGAAGAGGGGGGGTCAGGGCGGGGGTGGGGGCAGGGGAACAGAGGTCCCGTAGTGTGAGGTTCACAGCAGTGCGTTCTCAGTGTGAGCCCTCCCTCTTCCCCGCCACCACTGTTAGAAGCTTACGTTTATTCAACCTGGACTCACCTCCTCCCATGACTGGGGTCCCTGGTGGGCCTGCCACCGAGCTCACACCCAGCGAAGCCTGCACACACAGGTGATCAGCATTTAGGAGGAGGGGCAGAGGCACAGCCACACCCGGGCTCGCCAGATAGACACCTTGAGCCCCCTCACTCTACCTGACCACGCGGCTCCTGGCCTCCCCTGGCAGTAGGGGCAGCCCTCCCTGGCTGGGAGGTCCACTTGCTGCTGGATATTCCAGCTGTGTCCCTGCTACACAGCCGGGGTCATCAGGGGACCCATGTCAGGGCTGGGCTAGAAGGGGAGGGATCTGAGAGCCAGGCAGGAGGTATGTGTGGGGGTGTCAGAGTCAGGCACTCAGGCTGTCCCAGGAGGGAACAAACTGGGCTCAAGGAGGACAGGGTTGGCCCCGAGACGAGGTCACAGGGGCTGCGTTAACCCAATGCCAGAGGTGGGCAAACTGGGAGAATTGATGGCCTCACAGCCGGAGGCTGAAAGTCCAAGTCAGGGTCTCAGCCGTGCTGATTCCTTCCTTGTCTGTAGCCTGCGCGCTTCTTGGTATCTGGACACTCAACATACGCCCCACCCCAATCCCACAGTTTAGGATTTACAATATGTGAGATCCAGCCTGGGTTCTAAGGGGCGGGGCAGTTGTGTAATTGAAGGGGAGCAACTAAGAGACAAAGTTTTGGGGTGTTCACCTCTGCCAAGAGTTCAGGAGCCAGGTTGACACAGAAATAATGTATTCCCAACATCAATTTATGTATTCTCAGGGCATGCCAGCCCCCCTAATTACAGGTAACCACAGACAGAACAATGTAGGCTTTACCTTTAACCCTAGAGGTCCCTGAGTTCACTGGAGGAGCAAGTAACCTAATACCAGTGCTGGGGGCAGGTAAGGGGAAGTGACTGCCCTGAGCAGTGAGCGCATGTCTGCTCCTACAGATAAAGCCATCAGCCACGTGCTTGTAAGAGGCCACTTTAAGACAGCACTATTATGGGAGGCTATGGTGGGGAGTAACCTTAGTTATGAGAATGTGATTGGGACTCATCTCTACCCCACCAGGGTGAAGGCCTCCCTCCACCCCAGAATCCTGGACTGGCAGGCTTCTTAAAATATAATAAAGAATTCATCTGCACACACTCTTTTCCCGTTCCTGTGTTTCCCACAACACAAATCGACCACCTTTCTTAAGTGCTAACTCACTTAGAATTACCCCCTATTCAAATTGACACACATTTTGCAAGAGGACACAGCTCAATGCATGACAAATAGGTCTGCTTTAGATGAGGGTACTGGGCTCCCGGAGGCACCCAGAGCCTGCAGGCAGCTAGACAAGCCGTAAGCCCCTGAGCAGCCAGGCAGAGCCACCGGCGACACCGCCCCTTGTCGGTGACACCGGCCCCTTCCTCGGCAGCGGCCTCTCTGTGCTGATCCGCGTGCGACGTGAACTGCACCACCACCAGCGTGCCGGCCACACCATCCCGAGCATATTCCAGGAGGTGGCGCGGAGGCAGCCCGAGCGCCTGGCCCTCGTGGATGCGGGCAGTGGCGTGTGCTGGACCTTCGGGCAGCTGGACGCCTACTCCAACGCCGTGGCGCACCTGTTCCTGCAGCTGGGCTTTGCGCAGGGGGACGTGGTGGCGCTTTTCCTGGAGGGCCGGCCCGAGTTCGTGGGGCTCTGGCTGGGCCTGGCCAAGGCCGGCGTGGAGGCCGCGCTGCTCAACACCAACCTGCGGCGTGAGCCCCTGGCCTTCTGCCTGGGCACATCGGGCGCCAAGGCCCTGGTCTTTGGAGGGGAGCTGACAGCTGGTGAGGCTGGGTGCGGGCTGGGGGCACACAGGGCAGGGGCGAGGTGGCGCTGGATCTGGGGCTGACCTGCACCCCATGTCCGGCTGCAGCGGTGGTAGAGGTGAGCGGGCAGTTGGGGAAGAGTCTGCTCAAGTTCTGCACTGGTGACCTGGGGCCGGAGTGCATCTTGCCTGCCGACACCCACCTTCTTGACCCACTGCTGCAGGAGGCCTCCACCACACCCCTTGAGCAGCCCCCTGGCAAAGGCATGGATGGTGAGTTGGGAGCCCTGTACCCCACTCTATCCCCAGCACCTGCCCAAGACCTTGCCCCCAGTACACACCATAGCCCCTCGCCATCATTGCCCAGCCTCGGCCCCCATCTCCATCCCTGACCCTGCCCTACCCTGATGCTCAGCCCAGGCCCTTATTGATCTCCATGCCTGTCCCCATGTCCCCAGTGCCTACAGCAAGGATGCCCCAGAATGCCACGGTCTCCCCAACACCATCTAGTCCCCGATGCCCACCCAGACACCGTGGCTTTCTTGCCTTCACCATCTGTCCATCCCCCACTCAGTCCCCGACTCCCACCCCATGCTCTCTTCTCCCGTGCCTGCTCCGCCCCGCTCCCTGTGCTCATGGGTCTCCTCCCTTGATTGTCTGTCCCACCTTGACTCCCACCCCATCCACCTGTCCCCGGGGCACTCATCTCCTCCGTCCTCGGCCCCCACCCTGCCCTCAGTTCTGCCCGCTGGCTCTCTTCGCCCTCCCCCATCCCCACCCCCTGTCCTGCAGACCGGCTCTTCTATATCTACACGTCGGGGACCACGGGGCTGCCCAAAGCTGCCATCGTTGTGCACAGCAGGTGAGCCCCCAGCTGGTCACCTCTGGGCTTGTGGTGCCAGCCCCAGCCTCAGCCAGGCCAAGCCCTCAGCCCCCAGCCCTCAGAATCTGGTCCCCAGGCCTTGAGCCCCCTGCCTCCCAGGGTGTCCTGAACTGTCCACTTTCCTCCCCACCCAGGCCCTTTCCCAGCCACCCCCACATGGGTCCCCATGCCCCCTGATAACCCCAATAGCCCCCAGGGATGTCGGTTTCTAGTTCAGACCTCATCCCTCCTCTGTCCTCAGGGTCAAACCCACGCTGCTGCCTTGTGAACCCACATCGTCCTCTGGCCCCAGCATGCCATGCCCTGGGCCTCCTCTCCTGTTGCCCACTCGCTCCTCACTCTGCCCGAGCCACTAGCTAGAGGCCAGCCACTTCTGGGTGCCTTCCCTGGGCTTGCCCTAGCTGGCTCCTGCTCCCCAGATTAGCTCTCATCCCCATCCCTTGTGTCCCAGCATCCAGCATGCTCCCTGTCCCCTCAGCCCCCACACCCCTTTTGTCCCTCGCAGGTACTACCGCATCGCGGCCTTTGGTCACCATGCTTACCGCATGGAAGCCCTGGACGTCTTGTACGACTGCCTGCCACTGTACCACTCCGCAGGTAGTCTGGAGCCGAGGGGCTGGGTTGGAGCCGGGAGCAGCGGGGGGTGGACCCTCACCACCACCGGCCCCCTGCAGGGAACATCATGGGCATGGGGCAGTGTCTCATCTACGGGCTCACTGTTGTCATCCGCAAGAAGTTCTCGGCCAGCCGCTTCTGGGACGACTGCGTCAAGTACAAGTGCACGGTCAGCCCAGCTCCTGCTCCTCACTCCCCCTCGCCTGGGGCCCCAGGGTTGGTAGGGATGGGGACAGCTGTCCACTCCTCCTGATAGCTTGGGTGTTGCAGGTGGGGAAGCCAAGGCTTGGTGCCTCGGTTTCCCTCTGTTGTTCCTTGTCGCTGAGTGGACTCCAACTCACAGCCCCCTTGAGGCCCCGTGGGATTCTTGGGGCGCAGACTTCCAGGCCTTTCTTCTGAGGTACCTCCGGGTGGGTTGGAGTCACTAAACCATCTGGGTCACCCAGAGGCTTCTCTTAGCTCCCGAGTGCCACCCATATGGGCATGTCCTCCAGTCCTGGAGGCTGGAAGTCCGGCGTGGGTGCAGGGCCACGCGGGTTCTGTCTTTGTGAAAGCCGTGGGAATCCTGCATCTGCTGGCACAAGGGGAGGTCTCTGCATCTGCCTTGCTCTTTTCATAACCCGGGGGTTCGGCTGGGGATCCTCCTGACCCTGGTGTGAGCCCAGTGGACCTCTGACATCAGGTGGCTTACATTGCATGAAACCTGTCACTGTCCAGTTCGCTCCCGGCCCCTGGTGATGCCGTCCTCCACTCGTGTCAGAGTAGAGTGTCCCCAGAGGGTTTTCAAAGACTGAGTTTTTCAGAGGCGGCTAGGGGCCTTTCTTCCAAGGTGCCTCCTGTGGATGGTGGTTGCATCCAGGCTGGACTGTAGCAGCCCAGTGAGCAGCCCTGTCTGCAAACTGGGAGTAATCACTCAGCAGCCAACCCTGAGATGGGCACTTGGGGGCGCCTGGGGTTTCTGGAGGTCACCCTGGCAAGCTGGGTGCCAGTGGAGAACTGAGACAGAGAAGAGGCCCTGCAGGGGGCGCCCAGGAGATGGCAACGCCCTGGGAAAGCAGGGCTCAGTCCAGGTGGGTGCCCCGGGACTACTTAGGTGCACGCCTCAGGGTGCCACCCCAGGGGCAATGTCACCGGGATGTTTATCCTCACCCAACCTGATTTGGGTTTCCTGGAAACTGGACACCCGAGATCAGGACCCCGGGCAGGGGGTAGGGGTGGGGATGGGGGGTGACACGAGGAAGCCCCATGGTGGGTCGGAAATTGCGGCACACACTAAACACAGATCCCACCGCGTTTGGCCCGCCTTCCACAGTGAGCCGGCTGCTGGCCCTCCTATTCTGCGTGTGGCACCAGCGCCTGACAGCGAGCTGCAGTGTCCACTGCTGGTGGAGCGGGCGGCAGCCAGGGTCTCGGGTTACACACACCTCCGACGATGACAGCTGGGCTCCACTGACCCGACTTCCGTGCCCGCCCTCTAGGTGGTCCAGTACATCGGGGAGATCTGCCGCTACCTGCTCAAGCAGCCGGTGCGCGAAGCCGAGGGCCAGCACCGCGTGCGCCTGGCCGTTGGCAACGGGCTGCGGCCGGCCATCTGGGAGGAGTTCACGCAACGCTTCGGCGTGCGCCAGATCGGCGAGTTCTACGGCGCCACCGAGTGCAACTGCAGCATCGCCAACATGGACGGCAAGGTGCCCTGGCAGGCGACAGTGCGGTGATGCTAGGGGTGCCCACCGCAGGGCCCGAGGCAGGGGGCGTGTGCGGTTAGGAGAGAGGGTCCTCGCATCCCTGACCTCGTTTGCCTGCTCAGGTCGGTTCCTGCGGCTTCAACAGCCGCATCCTGCCCAACGTCTACCCCATACGGCTGGTGAAGGTCAACGAGGACACGCTGGAGCTGCTGCGCGACGCCCAGGGTCTCTGTGTCCCGTGCCAGACTGGTGGGCGGCCATCCCCTACCAACCCCCGAGCCCTGGCCCCTCTTGACCCTTCTCTTCCCCAGGCCCCACGTATTCTGCCAGCCCTGCACCCTCCTCCCCCGCCCCCAGGCCCAGCTTTCTCGTGCCTGCAGGGACTTGGCCCTGCCCCCATTCGCATGCCCCGCCCCTCCCACCCCCACCCTCTTAGCTTGCCGCCTCCACAGGGGAGCCGGGCCTGCTCGTGGGCCAGATCAATCAGCGGGACCCCCTACGCCGATTCGACGGCTACGTGAACGAGAACGCCACCAGCAAGAAGATCGCCCACAGCGTCTTCCGCAAGGGCGACAGCGCCTACCTCTCAGGTGCGCGGCTCACCTGACGGACCGGCGCAGGGCGCTCAGGGACCAGAATCCTCTGCCCCACCGCCCACTCTCCTCTGCCAGGTGACGTGCTGGTGATGGACGAGCTGGGCTACATGTACTTCCGGGACCGCAGCGGGGACACCTTCCGCTGGCGCGGGGAGAACGTGTCCACCACGGAGGTGGAAGGCGTGCTGAGCCGCCTGTTGGGCCAGACGGACGTGGCCGTGTACGGGGTGGCTGTGCCAGGCAAGTCGGGCTTCAGGCAGGAGTGTGTGCATGTGTATGCACACGCGCGCAGAGGTACTGGGGGTGGCAGCCCCAGGGTGTCTGGGTGGGCAGCACCCCAGAGGTACAAGTGCCCTCGATCAGGGCACACTCCGGACAGCTGCTCCTGGTGACCTGACTGGGAAACCACGTCCCCACCTGCAGGTGATCAGGAAGCAGCCTCTGCGAGCACCGCAGGGCGTGCAGGGCATGGGCCCTGGGCAAAATGGTCAAGGCGTGGCCGGTGCCGCGATAAGGGAGGGGGGCGCATGCTCAGCCGAGCCTCTTCCTCAGGAGTGGAGGGCAAAGCAGGCATGGCGGCCATCGCAGACCCTCGCGGCCAGCTGAGCCCCAACGCACTGTACCAGGAGCTGCAGAAGGTGCTGGCGCCCTACGCCCGGCCCATCTTCCTGCGCCTCCTGCCCCAGGTGGACACCACAGGTGAAGCCATGCCTCCTCTGTCTGTCTGTCAGTCTGGCCATCTCGGGTGCTCGTTTTCCCTGCTTCGCCTCCGGGCTGGGGCTGACGTCATGGTTCTCTATTCCATCTCCCGTCCCGCTAACCAGTCAAGTGGACTGCGCCTCCTGGTGGCGCCTTGTGCATCGGGCAGCGCTGCGTGCTCCAGTGCATCTGCAGTGGCTGAGTTGGTTGAAAGTAATCACCCGGCCTTTCTTCCGCAGCTTCTCTGGGTGCCCTTGAACCTCCAACCTTTAGGCTAGCAGCTGAATGTGCTCACCTGGAGCACCACTCAGAGACCACTCCCTGCCCTCTTCCTCCGCCCCCCCAAGGCGGGGATGAGCTCTGCATTTTCCCGAATTTCCCTGTTGCTAGGCGGTCTGAGTAACCCCTAGGCCTTTTATGTTGCTGCTGCTGCCTGTGCGTTGGGGTTGCTGTTGTGTGATTTGGGGGCACTTGGTCATAACCTGGATGTTCATTCCTTAGCATTTCTGGACAGGAGGACACCCCCTCCCCCATCTCTTATCCTATGTCTGACACATGGTCCATGGTGATTTGCGGGGGGGGGTGGGCACCCCACTGCCATTGAGTCTGTGCTGGTGCAGAGCCTTCCCGTGGGACACAGCAGAACTACCCTGGTGGGTTTCTGAGACCGTGAGCTCTTTCCTTTCTCCCTCAGAGAACTGGTGGCCTGGTGGCAAACAGTCCAACATGTACCCCACTACACCACCAGGCTCCTCGTCTTGGTAGAAAAGAGACCCTTAATTTCAAGATGAACCAGCTTCTCCTTTCAGGAAAACACACCTGATGATTTGTGCTTTGGGACACTTTGTTCTAGAAAACCAGATCACCACGGTGTCCCCGTCCTTGCTTGTGCTGGTCTGCAACCAATCCTTATTGTTACCATTCAAAGAACTTCTCCAGACCCCTGCCGGGGGCTGAGTTCCCCGGGCAGAGCAAACTCTGGACTCGCTCAGCTGCTCACCAAAAGGTTGCCTCTTCATGTCCACCCAGATTTGCCATGGAAGAGAGGCCTGGCAATCCACTTCCCAAAAGTCAGTCCCAGAAAGCCCCACCGAGCGCCTGAAGCTCGACCCTGAAACACGAGGGCCAGCTGCGAGTCAGGCGCAACTTGAGGGCTACTGGTTTCATTTGCCCCCAAGCGTTGGAGATCATTTCATCAAGCGCCAGAGAGTAAATATGTTCAGCTCCCCAGGCCACATGGCCTTGTCCCAACTCCATCATTGGAGGAGCGACTAACGTGATGGTGGTGCCAACAGCACCGCTACATCCTGACCAGCGAGGTCGTGAGGCTGACCAGGACCCTACCTCAATGATCCTCCCCACCCGCCTGCTCTCAGGGGAACTCAGACAGACCTTTGCCCTCTGGCTTTTGCATGAGTCCTGATGCCAGCTGTCCCTCCTGCAGGATCTATTGCAATGACCACGGTGAGCCGACCACATTCTAGCTGGCTGATAGAGCAGTCTGCTACTGCTCTGGAGCAGGGTCAGGAAGCTGCCTGCCAAAGCCGCCCTTCAGGGTAGCACCCCTGTCTTGTGACAGCCCTTGTCTGTGAGCTGCAGGTCTCTTAGGTGGCTTCTTGCCCTCCCCTCCCCTCCCTCCACCCCACCCCCGGTGCATCATTTCTTGACCAATCTCTTCAAGGTCCATACCAATGACACCACCAAAAACCCAGTGCCATCAAATCAGTTCTGACTCACGGCGACCCGATAGGACAGGGTAGAACTGCCCCTGTGGGTCTCTGAGGGTAGAAAGTAGAAAGCCTCATCTTTCTTCTGAGGAGCAGCTACTGGTTTTGAACTGTTGACCTGGCGGTGAGCAACCCAATGGGTAACCCACTGTGGTTCCTCTATACCAATCACAGGGCAGGCAGTAACCCAGGGCCCGACAAACACGATGGAACTACAAGCTGTTCGCAGCCTGCCCCAGAAATGCCGGTCAGGCCAATCTAGACAAAAGCAACAAAACCTCCAGGAGCGGAAACTAGCGCAAAGGTAGCTTAGCAGGGAAACCTCTCAAGCTGTTTTCCCAAAGAACCCAGGCACAAGGCCACCCAGAGGGACTCTTTCCAGCATACTGATGCACACACAAAGGGGCCTGGCTCTGTGCAATAAAACGTTATTTTCAAACCCAGCGGGTGGGTTGGATCTGGCCCAAAGACCATCGTTTGCTCATGGCTCATCCGTGTGGCCGCACCACGAGGTGGACACGACTCAGGCGGACACCGGCGTGCCCAGACCAAGTACCTGCTGTGGCCAGAGTGGTCGGGGAGGCCTTCCTGGAGGAGGGAGGATTAGGTGGGCCAGTGGGGATACATGTTCCCGCCTGGCCTCCACAGGAGGCTGTCCCTCCTGGAAGCCGGGCCCTTCCCCAGCCAAGGTCTTTTCCATAGGCACGTTCAAGATCCAGAAGACTCGGCTGCAGCGGGAGGGCTTCGACCCGCGCCAGACCACAGACCAACTCTTCTTCCTGGACCTGAAGCAAGGCCACTACCTGCCCCTGGACGAGGGGGTCTACAGCCGCATCTGCTCCGGTGCCTTTGCACTCTGACCTGACTCCCAGAAGTCCTACCTGGACCTCCCTCCCACCGCCCCTCCTTGCCACCTCCACCGCTGCACCCTGCTGTCCCTCTCCACCTTCCTCCCTGGGTCTTAGGGCCCGTGGCCTCCCCATGTGCCGTCCTTCGCCTTACCTCCCCTCCTCTCCGCTGCCAGAGCCGGGCAGACGTTACCTAGGAGGTGCGCCCCGTCTAGCCCTCGGCAGCTATTGCGTCTGTGAACCAGCCTGCATCCCCCTCTGCCTCGGAGCGTTGGTGGCGTAGTGGGTTCTTGTTGGGCGGCTAACCACAAGGTCAGCAGCTCAAAACCACCAGCTGCTTCACAGCAGACAGACTAGGCTTTCTGCTTGTGTAAAGATTTACTGTCTCGGAAACTCACCGGGGAAGTGATACTATGTCCTGTAGAGTCTCTGTGAGGCAGAATCAGAGTGATGGCAGTGGGTTTGGATTATGGCCTTTGTGCCCCCCTTCGCCTGCCCTCCCTCCCTCCCACATCCTCCCCTGCATCCTTCCCCACCTCTCACCTGCCCAGCTGTGCCTTATGGAGCCCCACCCAGGGCTCCCTCAGCTGCCCTTCCAAACCCCAGGCTGGGATCCCCCTCCTGCTGAGATGAGCAGTGAGGGTAGTCTGTCTGCCCCCCAGCCCACCCAGGTGTGTGTGTGTGTGTGTGTGTGAATGACAATGAATAAGGGGGATATTGGCAGGGGACCCCCCCCACACACCTCAACTGGAAATCTCGCCTGGGGAGTTTTGCACATCCCTCCTCCTGCTGGGTCCCAGGCCTGCCGGCCGCTTCGGATGCAACAGAAGCGTCTGGAATAGACCGTTTGTGATTGCCTGCCCTGGCCAGGAATCTCCACAGAGCTGCAGCCCCAGGGCCCGGAAGGTGGCATGCTGGCTGCTTGGTGGACGGCACTGAACCTGGTCATGTTGGGGCTCAGGCACACTTTTTAGTGGGGCCTCGAGGGTCTCCCCATTTGAAGTGGCTCTTGGAGGGACCCCTGGAGTGGCACCTGAGATGACCTCCCGGGTCCCCAGATCCCCCCAGTGGTGATGCCTTGGATGCCCCCACTGCCCTGGCTATGGACACTGAGACCATTGGTAGTGGCATGCGGGGCTCCTTGGGCATGCCGTCACATTGGACGCTGATCTCAAGACACCCACACCAGCCTCGCTGGGGGCCAACCGCCCAGCCCCCCAGGTGCCGGATTCTGTTTCCTGGTTGAGTTTAAGAAATAAACCTGTGGAGTGTGGCCTCAGGCAGGAGCTGTCTTTCCGCCAACCCCACCCCTGCACACTGCCGGCTCCTGTACTGCGGTTGCCTCCTCACCCACCTGCCAGGACTTTGGGGAGACTCCAGGATAGGTGTGCACAGGCTGGGGGTGGGACTGGACACCAATAGTCCCGGAGGCCTCAGAGAGCCCTCTATCTGCCACATTGTAGCTGGTGCTGCAGGCCAACGCAGAGCACAGGTGCGTGCTGCCAGGCACCAGGGAGGGCATGCTTCAGGGAACAACTGAGAACAGCCTGTGGAGGTGGTCATCTGAGTCTGGATTTGAACCCAACTCCACAGTCCATGTGGTCAGCGTCCCCCTACTGCTGTCACCATAACAAGAGGGCCTCTATTCCCGTATGTAGTTTTCCATTAGAAACTGCATCCATGTGGTGCATATTTTGTAACCCCTGGACCAATGGAGCCACGTGATTAGTGGCTAAAACCCGTCATCTGTAGATGCATCTTGGTTGCCTCATTCTGACCCCAGCCCTGGAGGGGAGGGCCTAACTGGGGACGGACAGTTGGGCTGTACTGATGGAGGACGGGCTGGGGGGAGGGAGGCTGAGAACAATGGGGACAGGTGGGCGAGCGGCCTGCGGTTCTGGTCGTGGCCCCATGGTCTGCAAGGAGAGGAACACAGGTGGAGCCGGCACATGACAGCGGGAGAGGACCAGGCTGTTTTGTTTTTCAATCAATGGGCTTCAGGTCTACCAAGAAAGCAGAACGCAGAGTTCGCAGTATAAGGCGTCTCCTCTCGTCGCCTTGCATCCGTGTGGCACATTGGTTACAGTGCATGTAGCAATGTTGGCATGTCAGTATTAACCGGAGCCCCTCATTTCCATGAATGGGAGAGCTGGAAAACTGCCAGCTTCGTTTACATCATCCCCAAGTGTTTGTAGTTTTCCATGTACACACGCTACACCTCTTTTGTCAACGTGCTAGGTGTGACAGGTGCAGTGTGGATCTCTACACACTGTAGCTGCGTCAAGTTGATGGACGTGGCAGCCCCGTTGATGTCTCCGAGAACAAAATCCTGCACCATCCCATGGCACCTTCGATCGTTGGCATGTTTGATCTAATAGAGCTTCTGCACTATATCAGACAACACAGTCTTCTGACCCATAATGGTCGTCAGTCTACTGTCACCAGGCCTTTCTTCCTAGTCTGTAAGCACTACTAAAACCTGCTTACCATCGATGACTGCCAGTGTTTGAAAAGCATCACAACATCACAGCCACACACACCACCACCACCACCACACAACAACTTAACAGGCAGGTGTTGGCTCTATTTGTATCCGTTCAATTCCCCAGACCCACCACGGCCCCGCCTCCTTCCAGCCCCGGCCCCGCCCAGCGCTCTGTCCCCTAGAATACCCACACCCACCAGGGT